GTCTGCACCTAAGGATTGGGCCTGCCCTCTGCCACCTGGGAGCAGGCCTAAGCCAGCAGGGCGTTATCTCCTGAGGGGTCCCAGACTGCGAGAGGGCACAGGCCAGGCTGAGGGACCCCTCCCTTCCCCCCGAGTGCACAAATTTTTGTGCACCGGGCCTCTAGTATTATAATATTTATATGTAACTATCAAATTAACATGCTGTACACCTTCAATTTACACAACGCTATATGTCAATATATTTCAATTAAAAAAAAAAGGAAAAATTTCCTAATCTAGGGTATCAGAGAAGGCTTTTCTGTAGAAGTAACACTTAAATTGGGGCTTGATGAGTAAAGTCAGGCAAAGAGGATGAGATAGAACTTTACTGACAGGGGGAACAGCATGTGCAAGTACCTGGCAGGAGTTTGGCACCATTGAACACCTGACCGAAGGTCAAGTGGATGCTGTTAGAGAATAGGGAGGTGAGTGGCTGAGAATGAGGCTGGAAGGGCTGACAAGGCCAAAGCGCAGCCTCAGAGGCTGTGGAAAGGAGTCTTTAGAGCAGCAATAGTCGTCAACAGGTTTTAATAAAAATGTACCTTAATTCAAATTTTGTTCTAACTCTTGCGTCAGTAACCCAATAGTGAGTTCTTGTCCATAGAAGGTTCATTATTTTCATTATTTTCTATGGTTAAAGCAGCTAAAGGTTTTTCCCATAGAGGATTTTTTCCCACTTAGAAATAATAATTGCAGCACAAATCTCTGACCTCTGTGGACAATTTCTTTTAGGCGATATAAAATAAATCTAGAGAAAAACCTCCATTCTCTCCTGGCTCACTGGCCATATTAAAAATAATACGAGTGGTGAGAGGTATAGTTTTTCAGTCATGGTAATTAATTTTAAAATTTAGAGGAGTATAAACAAAATCATTTTATTAATTAAGTCCTGCTCATTTCACCTTGGATATGTTTTTCCTATACTTCTCTGCCATTCTGACCTCACGGTTACTGCCCTCCTTCAGGCCCTTGATACTCACATGTGAATCATAATCTCCTCACTGTGCTCCCTACCAGTCTTCCAACAATTACATGTTTGAGCTGGAAACCATCACTGTCATCTTTCTCCTGCTAGTAGGCTGCCTATCCCACCATGTAACTCAGCAGCTTAAAAAATCCTAACAGCTCTCCCATTGCCTACAACAGAATTTCTGAAGTGTGGCCCAGGACTCTGCTCATATATGTATTTCTTTACACATGCATCAAACATCTCTGGAAGGATGCACAAAACGGTTAACATTGGTTGCATGCAGGGAGTGAGAATAAGTGGCTGGGGATGGTGGTGGGAAGATTTTCCCATACATAATCTTTTGTTCTTTTTGAATTTGGAAATGTGTAATTTTACTATTTTTTAAAGGAAGAATGGTTCAAGAGTGTATTAGTTTGCTACACCTGCTATAACAAAATACTGACCATCTATAGTATATATATATGTGTATCCCACGTTCAAAGGCTGTTAAATTGCGTTGTTTACCCATATCTTCAGAAAAAAATCACTTCTACTGTCATAAACAACCTGCTTCCCTACTTATTTATTTATTTTTGAAAATATATTTCATTGATTTTTTTACAGAGAAGAAGGGAGAGGGATAGAGAGTTAGAAACATCGATGAGAGAGAAACATCGACCAG